TGTTAATAATATTTTGAAATTTGATTCCAGATTTGAGCAAAGTTGGGACGGGGGTATACACCTGTGTAGCATGTTTGGGTTATAACTGCAGCTTATTACAGCAAGTGTAGAGCGAAGCTTATAGGAGCGCAGTTTGTGTTTCACCACTTTGGTCTCACTTGTTGCTGACGTTTTCCTCCTCTTCCTGATTGGCTAGCTTTAAAACTACTTGAATACTTTTAGAAAAAAGATCGAGTTTAAATATGTGTTTGAAATATGTCTCATTGTTACTCAGTGTAGCAGAAAATATTATATAAACAATTAACGGATGACTTCATGTAAAGTCTTTCCCATGTACTGATATTCAGGGCTGCAGTTTAGTGTAAGAAGTCTACATATGTGAGGAACAGCCGATTGCCACACTGTTTGCTGTCTCAGTCGAACCTGATTTGCCAACCTGCTGAGGCTGTTAACACATAAGCAGATTTATCCGGTTAAGCCGTTGCCTTCTGATTCGTCCACTTTGCACAGCTGCCCCTTCAGTAGCGAGCAATTATCAGAGAATCCACATTTGACAGTCAAATTTGAAGAAAGGGTTCCTAAGGGGTGGTAACGTGGTTACATCGAGCGGTGTGGCTTTGCGCATCGGTTTCAGTGCGCACACTGGGCGCCGTGGATGCGCGTCCACGGAGAACAACTTAGCCCGACTTCATCTGGAAACCTTCTGCTTTCCTTAACGGCTTATAGATGAAAACTACCCTGGAGGAAACTCTTCGTAGGACAAGGAGCCCGTCAATCTGCGGCGCACGGCGCGACACCGGCGACCATGTCGGACAACTTCACGGATTTTAACAACGACACCCTGCCGGCGGCCGCCGTCACACATTTAAACTTCCCAGCTCTCATTTTCGGGATTTTCTTAATCATCGTCGTCACCTGTGGAAATGTGCTCGTGTGTATAAGCGTTTACTTGGAGAAAGCTTTAAAAACCACTACAAACTACTTTATAGTGAGTCTGGCATTTGCAGACCTGCTGCTGGCGGTGCTGGTTCTCCCTCTCTTCGTTTACGCAGAGGTAAGAGCCGTATTACCCAACAGGCTTATCAGGTCAGCATTTAGTACAGCATGCGTGCAGATGAGTCTGACTGTAACTCGAAGAAAGCGTCAGACAGAAGATAAGCAGGTATCTCTACATCTCCTGTATATTGCAGTTCAGATGCAACATTAACCAAGAGGAAATGAAAAAAGATATAAAGACTGAAGACCGCACAGTGTGGCTTCAAGACTTCACAAAATCCAAGGCGCCCATAAGAACTTTAAAGGCCTGGAGACTACTAAGATAACGATAAATAGACGTAACCAAGACGTACAAACCACTGTGCAAAAATAGCAAAACTGGAAAAAAAAACACATGCATGCTACAAAAAACAGTAAAATGCAAACTTTAGACTCCAAACACGTCTAAAATACCCTTAACCTCATAAGACCCGAACTCTTCCACAGCATGCATTTTTAATCTCTCTTTGCTATTTGGGCTGATTGGGACCTGATGAATGTAAAAACAAAGATTTTTTTTGGTTATTTTACCTGATTTTTGTTTCTGAGAAAAATGAGAGCTACATATCAGGACATCGGTTTTAAATTTCGATAGAACAGTGTCAGTAAAACGTCCTCGTTAGTGGACATCAGGCCCTTGTAGAGCAAAATTTAGTATTTTGGTCTAGACAACCCAAAATGTGATGTCCACATATGTGGATGTCAGGAGGTTAAAGAAAAAAGCATGGAAACACAGAAAATAACAACTCCAAATATATGCACGCAGATGCAAAATAACAAAGATGCAAACAGAGATACAAAAGAAACTGCAGAATGACAAAATCAGCACATATATCGGTAAAATGATTAACAAAAGAAAATGGCAAAACGACTGCAAAAAGATGCAAAATGTGACGCTTCAGTTTCTAATAATGTGTGAGCCCTAAAGTACTAGTGGACAGAAAGCTGTTGTCTTGAATTCAGGTGTTTATTAATTATAACAATTCTGGAGGATTAACACTCTTAGCGCGGTAGCTAATTATACTCATCAGAAAAAGA